GGGCTGCAACCCCACTAACAGCTTTTTCTCATCCCTTCAGTGGCATCTCCAATAGATCCTCTGACTGGATTCAGAGATTGAAAAGACTACAGTGTAAACCTTGAGGAGGAAAAACGCCACTACATTTACTGAGAGGCTGCTCTGTGCTAGGCACTGCACTTGACATTTCTAAGTTAATCTTTTTACAACAACCTTCAACATAATTATCACCTTTTATAGAACAGGACTGAGGCTCAGCGAGGTTTTGTAACATGCAGGAGTTGAATCAAGATCTGTCTGATTCAGGGGCCAGCCCTGTGGTGTAGCGGTTAAGTGAGCACGCTCCGCTGCTAGAGGCCCGGATTCAGATCCCTGGCGCACACTGATGCACCGCTTGTCAGGCCATGCTGGGGCAGGGTCCCATATAAAGTGGAGGAAGATGGGCACGGATGCTAGCCCAGGGCTGGTCTTCCTCACCAAAAAGAGGAGGAGTGGCGTGGGATGTTAGCCCAAGGCTGATTTTCCTCTCACACACACAAAAAATCTAATTTAAAGCTAGCTCCTAGCAATTCAGCCTCCAAAGGTTAAATAATGGCTAAGCATGTGTTAAGTTCTAGAAGCCCCTCTCCAAGCTTGAGGGACAGGAGCCCAAAGTGTCCTCTCTGGGCATCTATTGCTACGCGATTTTCCAAGATAGTTCTGATTTCAAGAATGTCACTTGGGGGCCAGCCCTGTGGCTTAGCGGTTAGGTGCACCTGCTCCACTACTGGCGGCCTGGATTCGGAACCCCAGGAGCACACTAACGCACCACTTCTCCAGCCATGCTGAGGCCGCATCCCACATACAGCAACTAGAAGGACACATTAGCTCAGGGCTGATCTTCCTCACACACACAAAAAATGTCACTTGGTTATCCCCAGAAGTACGCTCAAACAGACCACGTGACCTGTGTTTTGAAAACGTGGTGGCTATGCCTATGGGGCTTCAGCTTCACGTGGGGCGGGGCAGGCGGGAGCCACGGTCATCCCCGCCCGCAGCACCGACCCCCCAGAAAACTCTACGTATTTATAGGCGTCTGACCCCGGGGCTCACGGAAGAACGTGATTTATTGGTTCCTTCAGTTCGCTACATCCGATGCCCCCGCCCGCGATGTGAGCGTTAAAGCGCAGTCAGTGCTGGGTTCCGGGGGAACGTGCTCCCCCGGCCCCAGCTCCCCAGGCCGCGCGTGGCATCCTGGGTCCGGACTCCCCGCCCGGCCCACGGAGGTGAAAGGTTGCCTCGGACTCCTGCGGGAGTCCGAGCGCCCACGGGGGCAGGTCCCGGGTCACCCTGACCTCCCGCCGCCGCCGTCATTCCAGTTCTTCCTCCAGGCCACGTTCTCCTGCGTGGTCGCTGCCTCCTGCAGAGTGGCCAGCACTAACTGCTTGGTCTTGGCCGCCTCCTCCCGGCGCCGAGGGTCCTGCTCTGGCATCGCCTGCGGGCAGCAAGGAAGGTTCATAGTCCGGGCCCCCAGCCCGGGGCTCTCCGCCCGCCCACCCCACCTCGGACTCCCAGTTGCTCCCACCTTCAGCATCGCCTGCTTCTGCTCCTCTCCCGGGGTCACGAGGACAAAGAGCGCGGAGCCCACACCGGCCCCAGCGCCCAACACTGCGCCCACGAGCAGCGCTTTGCGCGCGGCCCCCATGGCCGACCGCGCGACCAGCGAGGCGCCCTCTGGAGTCCTCCGCAGCCTAGATAGGTAACCCAGACGTGTCGCTGCCCCGTGCGCGGGCTAGAGCGACCCACGGATAAAACCATAGAGAAGGGGCCGGGCTAGAGAGGGCCTCATCAGCGAAACGTTTAGAATCTAGAGCGCCGAGGTTTTCAGGTTACATTTGAGGTGAGAAGGTTGAGCGTGTCGAAAGTGTTGACGCCGAGGGCCGAGCGCGGGTCCCATTGTCGTGAAACCTGGAGTGGCATTGTTAAGGGGAGAGGGTGTGTCTTCATGGTTGCTGTGGGTTTTACAATTGTCCAGCTCTGAAATTTCCTGACCAATAGAGGGCTAGGACTGTGCTCTGTGATTTCTTAAAACAATTTGTGCTTTTTCAATACAGCACATAGTGGACATCCAAATACTTATACACATCAGCCTGTTGACCCCCTTCAGTCCCTTCAACTCCTGAACAAAAACTCAAAGCCAAGTGTACTGACTGAGTGGGGAAACTTTATCTTGCTTGTTAAATAAACTTGCTAAAAGTAAACTTGTTACTTTTCTTGTCATGGTATATACCCTTGGCTTTTTTTTTTTAACCATGGGAAGACTCTGGATTTTGTGTAACGTACCAAATTCTAGTTTAGAGAAGTGTGACTCTGGGCTAGTCATTTAAGTTCTTTGTGCCCTGGTTGCTGTATCAGAAAATGGGGCTAAATAATGGTATCTATCTCGTAGTTTTAGGAAAATTAACTGAGTTTATATGTAAAGCATTTAAAAATCGTTCCTGGCAAATAGTAAACATCATATAAATATTCATTAAATAAGATACAAAGAAATGTGTCGGGGCGGCCTGTGGCTTAAGTTAAGTGCGCGCGCTCCACTACTGGCAGCGCAGCTTCGGATCCCGTGTGCACACCAATGCACTGCTTCTCCAGCCATGCTGAGGCCGTGTCCCACATACAGCAACTAGAAGGATGTGCAACTATGACATACAACTATCTACTGGGGCTTTGGGGGAAAAAAAGGAGGAGGATTGGCAATAGATGTTAGCCTAGAGCTGGTCTTCCTCAGCAAAAGGAGGAGGATTAGCACGGATGTTAGCTCAGGGCTGATCTTCCTCACAAAAGAAAAAGAAAAAGAAATGTGTCAACTTGGGAGACCCAGGAAGCAAAGGAATCAGGAAATTCCAAGTTTGTTATCAAAGCTCTTCCCTCACAGGGCTTTACCCCAGATGCCCTTGTTGATGCCTACCCCACTCTTGCCTTTCCCATTGTCACCAGGGAGTCAGTACAAATAAAGCTCCTATCCCACCTCTTGGGATTTTCCCCTCCCCTGGAAGGCCCATAATCTCCTAGCACGTCATCCTCCTCTCTTCAAAGTGATTAAGGGGTCAGGCTCCAAAGAAGATTAAAGGAGCAGTCTGTGGGGTACACTGGGCAGAGGTACTCTACTCTGAGCTCAACCACCCTGCACTCTAAGAATCAGCATCCATGGCCCTTGTGCCAGGGAGCAGCGAGGATGGGCATTGGCCTAGAGATAGCCCAGGCTCCTCCCAGCATCCACAAAGTCCTAGGCTGACCAACCCTCTCTGGAAGGACAGAGGGGAAATTGGCAGGGTTGAAGGTCACCAGGATGTTCAGGTTAGTACTTCTCCACCCTGTGTCCTCCTGCGGGCTCATCCTCCAATTTGGCCCAAGCCCCATGCTGTCCAAATTCAGGTTGTCTCTCAAAAGCCCCGTCTGCCCTCCATTGTGGTGGAGGCCTCTGAAGTGAGTGAAGAGAGTGGGGAGCTCCGGTGGCCTCATGAGGAGCTGCTGCTGCTCACTGATGATGAGGAAGAGGAGACAGAGGTCTTCTTCCAGGACCAAAGTGAAGAGCCAGGTGAGGGAGGTGACTGGTTCAATGGGGCCGTTATGACCTGGATGTTCTGTGCAGGACCAAGATGGAAAACTCAGCTGTGTCCCCTGCATTAAGCAGTACCAGGCTCACAGTAGGTGCTCAGTAAATGTAGAGGTGGGAGAGAAATGTTATGGGGGTTGGCAAAGTTGATGATCTTTATTTATTTTTTTAACGTTTTATTTTTTATTTTATTTTTATTTACTTATTTTTTTTCCCCCAAAGTCCCAGTAGATAGTTGTATGTCATAGCTGCACATCCTTCTAGTTGCTGTATGTGGGACGCGGCCTCAGCATGGCCAGAGAAGCCGTGCGTCGGTGCGCGCCTGGGATCCGAACCCGGGCCCACCAGCAGCGGAGCGCGTGCACTTAACCGCTAAACCACGGGGCCGGCCCCAAGTTGATGAACTTTAGAGGGCAGTTCTGATGTCAGATGGGTGACACCTTCTAATATGTATTTTTAATATTTTAAAATATTCACATTGTTGGGGGGCGGGAAGAGATAATAAAATTACCCCAAATCCGACTACCCAGAGATAGATAGTTAACATTTTGGATGTCTTCTCTTCCAGACTTTTCCCCATGTCTGTATACTGTTAGGTTCTTCATTATAATTACTGTATTACTTTTTTATAAGGAAAAAAATTGCACAAATTCATTTTATCTCTAAAAAATTCCATAATATATCAGGAATATTTTTCATTGCTAATGGGCTCTTTAACTCGCCTCACCCTCAGGCTGGACTTGGAGCCCACTGGACCCCAGATCTCCCTTAAGAACCTTGAACCCTGAACTCAGCTGGGGGCAGGAACAGGTAGAGCAAGACGCCTCCTGGAGTCCTGAGGACACAGAGGGTCAGGAAGGCCCCAATCCCTGTCCTCTTTGGGACCCAGCAACAGGCTCCCGTGTCTGTAGAAGGCGCTTTGTGGAATATTCCCATCTCTTGCCTCCTGGGGGCTTTGAGGGTAAGTATTGCTCTCTCTCCCTCGAATTCACCCAGGCTTGTTTATGAAGCCCTTCCACCTATCCTTTCACAATCTTTCCCTTTTACAGGTGAGAGAAATAAGACGTAGAGGTCAGGCCACTGGGTCACACAAGTTAGTCAATGCTGGGATTTGGATTAAGAATTCTTATCTATGTTTTCAGGAGTTTCAGTTAGTTGGGGGCGGGGAATGATCCACTTGTACTTTCTCTGTTTAGCACTCGTCTAGTGCCTGGCACTGCTAAATGTTTCTCCTATTGTTGTATGTAATCCCCATAACTCCAGGTATTTTTCCCACCTTGCACATGAGTAAACTGGGGCACAGAACCATTCAATACTGTGTGCACCCAGCTAGTAAATGTGGAAGCCAGGACTCAAATTCTCGTTTTCCAGCCATCTTGCAAGACAAAGCTCTCTCCACCTCTCTCCTCACCCAACAGAAACACTAAGGTCAGGACTAAAAGGTCTTTAATCAGAGCCTTGAACCAAGTAAGCAAAGTAGGTGATGCCCCTGAAAGGACCTAGCTCCTGCACAGTCACAGTCCAGCCTTGGGACCCTTGCTCCAGACAGGGCAGCCGCACATCAGGGTCCTCATCTGAGAACTGAATCAGTGTCCCCTGGGGGCTTAGGACCCTCAGGCATTCTGACAGCAGCTGGTAAGCCCCAGGCAGACCACCCCTGGCAACAGCATCCCAGGTGCCCTTGTCTAGCACTAGCTGGAAGGACCCTGAGGAAGCCACTGGCTCCAGGTTCTGGGCATCAGCCTGCATGAAGTGGAGGTGGGAGGCAGGGTGTCCAGGGCACAGGGGTTTTTGGCCCTGGCCACCTTCCAGGAGGCTGTTCATGTGGGCCACAGCCACAGGAGAGAAGTCTACCCCCAGCACATCCACGGGGTGCGGGCATTTGGTGTAGAGGCCTGTACACAGGCTTGAGGTGCCACAGCCCACGTCCAACACCCGCAGTGGACAGGTAGCCTGTGCCTCCTGCAGCAGCGGCAGTAGGAGCCCCTGGGCTTCGTCGTATCCAAAGAACCAGTCGAAGGTGGGGACGCTGCCCACACGGGGCTGGGCATGGACCTTATCCCAGAGGCAGCGGTCCGCCAGGCAGCTACCAGCCAGGGAGCCTGTGGACACGAGCGAAGGACAAGTGTCACCCAGCGCCCGAGTTCTCTCAAACCGCTGCAAAAAATGGTGCAATGTACCCTGGGGTTTTAAGGGCCACATTTTCAGGGACTAGACTCCCGACTCACGAAGAACCCACCTTGCCCGCCCACTCTGTCCACCTTCCCTACCCGCCAAGGCGCGGCGCGCCCCCGCCGCTAGGGTCGCCACGTGGAAGGTTCGGCGCAGCGCCGCCATCTGGAGGTGCCGGCAACGTCGGCCAGAGAACGTTCTGCGAAATGTCGAAGATTTGCAAAATCGGCTTTGCGGAATCACGCATATAGCCTCCCTAACTCTGCCAGTCGGAGAAACGAACGGGGACACACACCCACTCCGGTACGAATGGCCTTTATTGGTTGCAACGGAAAGTGGAAGAGAGGAGGGGATACGCCAGCTCCGGCTCCTATGGCGGCTCCATAGACCTGAAATCAAAGGAGAAGGCGTGAGCACCCCGGGGAAGCGCCGCTGCGCCTCGATGCTGCCCTGCTCCTTGGAGCCCGGTGTCCCGGCGCTTGAGGATAGAACCGGCGGACTGGAAGCCGCCGGCACCGAAGACATGACGCCGAGGGGGCCGGAGCCCTTTCCCTCTGCCTCCGTACATTACGGGGACCGGGACCGCACGCCCGATCTCCGCCAAGAAAAGGAGGGTCCCCAGGCCCGGCCCGGAACCCCTTCCCCGCGTCGGTGGCCCGCAGAACCCCCACTTACTGGGTCGCCGCTGTCGGAAAGGAGTGCAACCCGGAGGAGCTCCTTTATATAGCCAAGGCCCCGCCCCCGAGCTGCGATTGGCTTGCGGAGGGCTGAGGGGCGGGGCCCACACGGACCCTGCTCCTAGCGGAAACTTGGACCCGGAACCGGCATCGCGGCGCAGCCATGGGCGCTCCCGGGGGAAGGATCAACCGGCCCCGAACGGTGACTGTGTGGGAGCCCCGACTCTGTTTCCCAAGCGCCCTAGAGCCCTCTCGTCTCGCCCGAGATGAGCTCGATGGGCCAGAGTCGCCTGTGCGGGAGTCCTGGGTCGCGGTGCGCGGCCTCCGTCTGATTAGCATCTTCCTCCCTCTCAGGAGCTGAAGAAGAAGCTGTTCAAGCGGCGGCGGGTGTTGAGCAGGGAGCGGCGACTGAAGCACCGGGTGGTCGGGGCTGTGATAGACGAAGGGCTGATCACGCGGCACCACCTCAAGAAGCGGGCGTGAGTGCTAGACCTTCTTCCCCTTGATCCTCCCCACCGAGTCTCCTTCCCTCCTCCCTGCCGAGCTCCCGAGCAGCTAACGTCTCTCTGCTTTCCATGTGCACTCACGCTTCTGCAAGCGACGTTTGTCGGCTGTTTGTGCCTAAACTCTGCTAGCCTCTCACGATACCGGTAGCTCACAACCTTTCTTTGGGTCTTCGACCCCATTGAGAATCTAAGGGGAGCTATCGACTCCCCCACCTCCCCAAGTAACGTCGTACATTCACATAGGTTATTATAACTAAATATAAATGCGCACACGTAAATGTGCGAACAACTCGATGAATTTTCACAAAGGCACATGTGGGATTTTGCATGTAAGTTTCAAGGCCCCCTGAGTCTTGGGGAAGAGTTCCCATCCTTTAATTAACTTCTTGATTATAAATATTTACAGAGTTTTATGGTACAATAAGAAATATACTCGGTCTTTGTCCCTGGTTCTTGGCACACAGCTTCTAAAACCGTTGGAATTTCTTCAGTGATTGGAGTGTCTTATTTCATAAGGAGCCCCTTTTGATCACACCTAAGTTTATGCTAATGAGTGACTTAGGGTGGGACTGATCCCCAGAAAGATCAAGTGATTAGAGGATTGGAGATTTAAGCCCCACCCACCGACCTCTGGGAAGGGTGGGGGTGCTGGAGATTCAGCTCTGTAAAAACTGTTGAACAAGGGAGATTTGGTGAGCTTCCTGGTTGGTGAACAGGTGGAGGTGTTGAAAGGTTGCCTCACCTGGGAAGGGCATGGAAACTCCTGGCCCCTTCCTGGTACCTTGCCCTAGGCATCTCTTCCATCTGGCTATTCCTAGGTTGTATCCTTTTATAATAAATCAGTAAATGCAAGTAAATGTTTCCCTGAGTTCTGTAGCTGTTCTAGCAAATTATCAAGTCTGAGAAGGGGATCATGAGGACCCTGAGTTATAGCTGGTCAATCAGAAGTACAGGTGACAACCTGGACATGTGATTGGTGTCTGAAGTGGGGGAAGCCTTGTGAGACTGAGCCCTTAAACTGTGGCATCTGATGCTATCTCCAGGTAGATGGGGTCAGACTTGAGTAAAATTTGTAGGACACTCAGTTCATGTCCACTGAGAATTGGAGAATTGCTTATTGTGGGAAATACCCACATTTGATGTCAGAATTATCGAGAATAGAAGAGAAAAAGAGTTTTCTCTTACAAGTTTCTACTGTATACTAAATTTTAACATTTAATGTTAAGTACTTTAGGTATGTGTTGAGATCAGTATTATGTAAATACTATGTTAATATATTAAATATTATTATGTAAATATTATGTATGTTAGTGTCTACGTATTGGAGAGATTTAACTCACTACCTTAGAGCCCAGGTTTTCAAACAGTTCTTTGACTTGGATCCAAAGGCCTTGTCAATAGCCAGAACTGCTTGTGTGGCCTATGTTGATTCAGGTTAACCTGGATATCTATGGTTCTACCAACCCTACAGGTCCAGTGCACGTGCCAACATTACTCTGTCTGGGAAGAAGCGCAGAAAACTCCTCCAGCAGATCCGGCTTGCCCAGAAAGAGAAAGCAGCCATGGAAGGTGAGGCTGGGGCACAGAGGTGGGGTGAGGGGACAGCCTGGATCATTTGGGGTCTTTAATGCTTCCTCTTTTCCTTTGCTCAGTGGAAGCCCTCCCAAAGCCAGCCAGGACTGGTGAACTACAGTCCAAATCGAAAAAGAAGACAAAAGCCCCCCAGGATGTAGACATGGAGGACCTTGAAGATAAGAGCTAAATCTCTCACTTCTTCCACCAGAAGATTCTCAGCTGGAGCCAGGAGGACTCAGTGGTTCTTTCAGAGGACTGCAGTGCTCCTTTTTGCTCTCTCAGATTCCTCTTCCATAATGGCCTAGTGACTTACCCTGGAGGGATGTGTTGAAAGGAAGAGGATGGAGAGGAGGCTCTTTAGCAATCAACCCAGCCTGTAATAAAGCCCTAGAGTTCTCACTGAGATGTGTGTGATTAAATGTAGGAACGGGGGTGGACCCCATGAAAAGGGGTCTGTGAGTATAGAAACAAGACAATTGGGAAACAGGACCCTCAGAGCTTACTTGAGCAAAGGCAACAAGAAGCCAGCCTGGGGCTGGCCCCGTGGCCTAGTAGTTAAGTTCTGTGCATATCACTTTGGCGGCCCAGGTTCGGTTCCTGGGCGTGGGCCTACACCACTCATTGGCAGCCATGCTGTGGCGGCAACCCACATACAAAATAGAGGAAGATGGGCAATAGATGTTAGCCTAGGGCGAATCTTCCTCAGCACAAAGAAAAAAAGAAGCCAGCCTATGTGATGACCCTGTCTCCCTAGTGAGTGACACTCCAACTTTCCATTTTTGACAAAAACATAGGTTATTGTAGAGATAGCAGAGGAGGTAAGGGTCCTGATACCAACCCTGCCACTGCCTCTGTGTGACCAGGGTGGGCAAGTCACTACATTATATTTGTCTCTATGTTCTTTGCTGGATTATATTTTTAATACAGTGAAGATCAAACATTATTTTTCCCTTTTAACATTCAGAAATTCTGTTTGTTGGAAGCCAGGTCTGGGTGTTTAATTAAAATGAAAAGCTGCCTGTGTGGAGGTGTGTTCGACAGGGGAAATCATATTCTGCCTGCCCTATTTAATCAGGACAGGCTTCCTGGAAGGGGAAGGCTTTGGGCCCAGTGTTGCAGCCCCTTCCCCAACTTTATGTTTTGAACAATTTCAAACCTTCAATAAAGTTAAGAGATTAGAACAATGAACCCTCCTATGTGCACTCTACCTAGATTTATCAATTTTAACATTTTGCTACACTTGTTTTATTTCTACACACTTGCAAATGTGCATGTGTGTGAGTATGTATCTTTGTTGTCTTTGCTGACTCATTTGAAAGTCAATTGCAGATGAGATTTTATCCCCAAGGACATCCTTCTATAGTCAAAATACTATTATCACACCTAAGACGTTCAACATTGGTGAAATAGCTAATATTCCGTTTTTCATGTTCAAATTTCCTCAGTTGTTCCACTATTATTCTTTTTTTTTTTTTTTTTTTTAAGATTTTATTTATTCATTTTTTTCCCCCCAAAGCCCCAGCAGATAGTTGTATGTCATAGGTTCACATCCTTCTAGTTGTTGTACATGGGACTCGGCCTCGCGCTGGACGGAGAAGTGGTGCCTTGGGGCGTGCCCGGGATCCGAACCCGGGCCGCCAGCATCAGAGCGCGCGCACTTAACCGCTAAGCCACGGAGCCGGCCCGACTATTATTCTTTATAGTTATTTTTTCCCCTCAATGTGGGGGCCAAACAAGGATCACATATTACATTTAATTGTCATATCTCTTTAGTCTCCTTCAGTCCAGAATAGGACCCTTACCTTGTCTTAGATAACTTGATGTTTTTGAAGAGTCCAGCCTAATCTTATTTATTTAAGATTATCCTACAACCTGGGTTTGTCTGACTGTTTCCATATGTTTCCTCATAATTAGATTTAGGTTAAGCATTTGTTGGGGAAAAATTCTATGCAGATGATACTGTGTACTTCCCATTGCTTACGTCAGGAAGTATGGAATATCACTTTGTCTCATTGTTGGTGATTCCAAGTGTAGAAACTTGGTTAAGTGGGTGTCATATTTCTCCACTGTTAAGGTATCCTTTCCTTTTGTAATTAATGAGTAATCTATGAAGTGATACTTTAAGACTGTATGAATACCCTATTCCTCAAAGATCTTACACCCAACGGTTTTAGCATCCATGATGGTCTTTTTGTGTGTGTGTGAGGAAGATCAGCCCTAAGCTAACATCTAATGCCCATCATCTTTTGGCCAAGGGAGATTGGCCCTGGGCTACCATCTGTGCCCATCTTCCTCTACTTTATATGAGGCGCTGCCACAGCATGGCTTGACAAATGGTGTGTCGGGTTCTGCACCTACGAACCCTTGGGCCGCCGCAGCGGAGCGCACTCTTAACCACTGCGCCACCGGGCTGGCCCCTGTGATGATCTTTACCTGAATTAGTTATTACTGCAAAATGGTGATTTTTCTAATTCTATCATTGATTCATTTTATTCATTTGACATAGTCTGTAAAGAAAACCCCTCCCTCCTTTTTTTAGTATCACTAAGGATTTAGATTGTTTTTCAGTGTGTTATAATCCATTACTGTCGCTTTTTCATGCTCAAAATCATACCACGTTTGGCCAGCAGGAGCCTTTTCAAGGTGGTCCCTGTGACCTTTTGACATAAAACCATCAGTATTTGAACATTTCTTTGCTTCTGGCACAATGATATGTTCCAGGCTCACCTGTGACTTCCCCTGGCCTAAAACTTGGAATTGGCCATTTTTCCAGGGAAGCAACATATGTCCAGTTTTGAACACAGAAAGGGCATGTACTTGTTTGAAATGGAACTGTATGCATATGCAGTATGGAGAGAGAGGAGGAAACAGTAGGGAGAAGGAAAGACATTTTCGACATTTTGGTATACCCATCCTTCATAATTTTTTTCTTACCCCCCTGCCTGTCCCTCCCACCCCCCAGTGCCTAAGGCAGGAAGGAGTTGGATGTTTTCAAAAAAGAAGAGTTTCTGTATCTGGCATCATGCTAAGTCCTTAACATAAATGATCTCAAGTGATCTTTGCCAAAAATCTGTGAGATACAAGACATCATGACCATTTTACGGATGAGGAAATGGGCTCCAAACAGCTGGGTCACTTGCTCAGGGTTACGTAGCTAGCAAATAGCAGACATGAATCCATGTCTGTTCAACTCCAAAACGAGCACCCTTAGATCGTGAATCCCTTAAGGGCAAGGACCACATAATAGTCTCATAGCTAGAAGAAATTATCTGGTTCAAAAGCCTCCTTTTACAGATCAAAAGTTGAAGCCCAGAGAAGGGAAGTGGTGGATCCAAGTTTGAGGCAGAGCTAGGAGCAGACATTGTCTCACATTTACTGTTCTAGAACAGTTTTTGCTAGTAGGTAATATACACACTTTGTAAGTGATTGAACTTGTAAAATTTTTTTTTTAAAGTACTTTCTTTTTTTTTTTATATTTTATATTTTATTTTTATTTATTTTTCCCCCAAAGCCTCAGTAGATAGTTGTATGTCATAGCTGAACATCCTTATAGTTGCTGTACGTGGGACGCGGCCTCAGCATGGCCAGAGAAGCGGTGCAACGGTGCGCGCCCGGGTCCGAACCCCAGGCTGCCAGTAACAGAGCGCGAGCACTTAACCGCTAAGCCACGGGCCGGCCCTGAACTTGTAAAATTTAAAAACAAATAAAGAACTATAGCCGTCCAGCTTTTAAAACACAATCACTTCAAAAGTATCTCTAGGACCCACCATCTGGTGTTAAAATAACTCACACTTCCACGGAGAGCAGTAAGCCCTCTGGTTAATACAGGCCTCAGAACCTACTTCCCTTTCATTCATTCAACCAACATGTTTATTAAGAACCTACTACTCTTGTCCAAGAGTTTATTTTCTGGAGTTCATTTAACAAATATAATTAAAAATAGCTAATGTTTACGTAGTGCTCACTTACTGTTGCTAAGTGTTATACAGTGAACAGATTATCTGGTTTCAATTTTCGTAACAACCCTGTGAGGTAGTTGTTCCATGACCGACCATCCTCATTTCCATTTCAAACAAGCATAGAGAGGTTGGGTAATATACACAGCCAGTAAGTGGAATAGCTGGAACATGATCTACATAGACTGCCTAGAGTGGGGGCTCTGGAACAGGTGTAGTAGCTCCGCATATAGTTACCAAGGTCCTTCCCTGCAGGTGTGGGATGTGAGGTAGACTGAGGTCCCTGCGCTGGGAGGCTGGGGAGAGAGAAAAGTCTAAACAATGGAGACTCTAGAAGGATGCTAGTGCCCACCAACGACTGGGAGGCCACCTCCAGCCCAGCCAGCCCAATTTATGTCAGGCTTCCTCTCCCTCCCTCTCTTTCCTTTTCTTCTCTTCATCTTTTACGAATTTTCTCTTTTTTTCCCGTCTCTTTTTCGCTTTCCCCCTTCCTTTCTCTCCTTTAACTGCTTTTTACATTGTCACTGTTACTTGATTCAAATGTTTCCTAGTGCTTCATTTTTTAAAACCTCGTGAATTGAACATTTTGTAATGTTGGCTTTAGGAAAAATAGTTAAATCTGTCAATGGCCGCAGCTAGCTTTAGTCTGTATGTCAAGGGTCCTTTGGAGGAAAAAAAAAAGGTTGCGTTGAGCGCGGGTCGGGCTCCCGCTGTCATCGTCCCGCAGTCCTCGACACGAGGCGGAACCAACGTGTGAGGGTGGTAGACGTTGCCGGACTGGTTTTCCTGAGAGGCCTTGGCGCTGGTTCCTTTCGCGTTTGCCGTCAGCGCGCATGCGCTGCCTGCGCTCCGCCGCTCCCGCCTCGGGCTCGGGCTCGGGCTCCGGGATGTCCGCGTTGTGCGACCCTCCCGGGGCCCCAGGGCCTCCCGGGCCTGCCCCGGCCACCCACGGTCCCGCGCCGCTCAGGTAGTCAGAGCCCCTGGCATCTTCTCGCACCGCGCGGTCCCGCGCCGATCCCCAGCCTTCTCGGCAGAAACCCGGATCCTACCTCGAGAGCTCGCTTCAGGGTTCTCAGAGGTTCCTGGTTGGGTCTTCCCAGAACTCAGGGACCTCACGAAAACTCTGGGCTCCAGTGCCCGCACTCCCAAGATCTCGGGACTGCCTCCCTCTAAACCCCAAGGCCTAGTTACCCCAGGTCCCAGCCTTCTTGTCCCAAGAGTTGGGGATATCAGAACTCTTGGGAACCCAGCTGCCCTGCCCCTTTTAGACCCAAGGGCACCCGGGGTCCCCTAACTTCATGGAGACTCCCTGGGAACCCAGGCCCAGAAACCCAGAGATTGCTTCCTTCTAGCCTTTCCCTTGCCCTCCAACGGAGACACTCCCCTCACTTTAGGGTGGTTTGTTTTTTTTTTGGAAGAACCAGAGGAATGGCACAGTCAGAACCCT